TTTTTCTTTCTTTCTTTCGTTTTTTTTTCTTTCTTTTTTTTTCCTTCCCCCCCCCCCCCCCTCCCTATTTTTGCGTTAACGAGAGATGGACCACGGATCGATGAAACTTATCGTAGCTGGTTCAAAGATTTTCGTTCGTTCATAGAACAAAGCGTACACGTTTATTATCTGGATGAATGAAACTTATTAGTCAGTTCGCAAGGATAAATTCGCTTGTTTATAGAATAAAGTGTACACTTTGTTCTATTTATTCTTGCATCGTTTTTGATGGACGAACAGACTGCCAGAACTCGCGTAAGAAGCGCCACATGCCTTGCAAACGTACGGTCTCTCCCCCGTGTGCGTGAACACGTGCTCGTTTAAATACTTTCGTCGATAGAAGGACTTGCCGCAAGTTTCGCAGTGGTAATTCGCCTCGCCGGAATGCAGCCTCAAATGGTATTTCAAACCGTTCGAGGAGGCGAACGTCGCGCTACAAAAATGACAGACGAATCGTTTGTCACCGGCGTGAATTCTCTCGTGCCTTCTCGCGTAACTCGGTATCGCGAATCCTTTGCCGCAGTATCGGCACGGATGAGCCTTCGCGGCTGAACCGTGCGACTTCATGTGAAATCGCAGCCCGGACTTGGAGGCGAACGTTTTGCTGCAGACGTCGCACAGGTATCGCGTTTCTGCCACAGATGCCACTGCGTCACCGTGACTTTGCACATTACTGCTGCTACCATCGACGCCGCCGCTGTCTTTTCCTGTCGCGTCGTCTTCGTCGTTCTCTTCTGCCGCCTGTTCGCTACCGACCATTTTCGAATTTCTCCAAACGCCATTCCAGTCCTGCTGTTCTCCTTCGAACGCTTGCTCGTTCTTCTCGTCTGTTCGTTTGTACGCCGACCCATCCTCCTCTGCTTTCGAGTCCTTTCCAACGTTGCAATCCTAAAATCCCAACTATCTTTTCAACTATCTCTCGACATCCTTGACTCTACGAGTCGAAGGATATTCTTACGAATAACTTGCACCAAAGGGGTACTACTATCAAGGGTACCCATGAGCAACGTCGTCCTTGCAGTCATATACTTGACTCGTCTTTTACAGAGTTGCATTGAGCTCGCGCACTTCTGTTCTGCTCTTTCAGCTGACCGATTTTCCAGAAAGTGTCAGATTTATCCTTTCTACGAAATGAATGAAACGTAAAACGCTAAACCTAAATCAGAATAAGTTGCAAAAATCTTCCATATGCAACGTACTCGTGAAAGAGTGAAAAAGAACCTTTTTTTTTGATCGTGTCGTAACAGGAGATGAGAAATTATGATCCTCTAACCCAGTAATGGAAAAACAATGGCTTTCCACTGGAGAACAATCGAGAAAAAAACTTCAACATCAATGGAAGTTTTCTTGCGTGTTTTGGTAGAGTATTCACGATGTAGGAGCTGCTTAATGCCAGAGTTACTGCAAACGTTTGTTATGGTCAGCTTGAGCGATTGAAAGCAGCAATCGTAGAAAAACATCCTGTTTCGATCGAACAGGAAAAGTGTTGTCCTCTGACATGCTGCGAGAGTCATGCAACAAAAAATTGCGGAACTTGGGTGGGAAGTTGTCCCCCATACTCCTTCATACTCACCTGATCACCGCCCCGTCTAATTACCATCTTTTCAGACCCTTGCAGCAGTTTGTTGCTTTTGGGAAAAAATTCTGATCTCTTCTTTTGAAGAGAAGAAAACAATGGTCGAATTTTCTGACTCCAAAATCTCAGAATCTTTTAATGCTAACTTTTTTAATAGTAATAATTAATTTTTTTCTTGTTTATTAATTTAAATATATTTAACCTTATCAATGCGTTTTCTTTACTTGTCTCTCTACATGCATATTACTATATTTCAATACTAGAACTATCAAAGTGGTCAGAATGACGAATTTATAATTTTCTGTAGAAAATTTTATATATTTATAACAGCATATTTTTCAATACACGAATCGATTTTTAATAAAATACCTTGGTTTTTTTAAATTGTATTATTAATTTTTCCTTTTACCTTGCACCTTTAATTTATTTTGCTAGGAATGTTATACTTTAATCTATCTGAGTAGTCTAGTGTATTGACAATACTGCGATCCAAGTAGAATTGTTAATAATAATAAATTTTCTTTTTCCGCGTCTAGATAGAAGGATAGAAAAGTTGATGACCAAATGGGTGAAAGTCAATCCTCGGTGAGCATGTAGTTGAGTAAATGCCGCTTTAAACAAAAGAAGAAGGAGAAATTACTAAGTTTACATCTGAACATAAAAAACGACACTTGTGGGTACCCCTGATAATATCGATTGATATTATTGTGATCTAACTTACCGACGTGATTCTCCAGTTGGATTCGTTCGTGCGGCGCAAATCGTAGTGCAATTTCAAGATGCGTTCCGTTTTCCTGCATAGTTCGCGAAACTCGAACGTGACTGCTATCTTTCTCTCGCACTCGCGACAGATCGTCTTCGGCAGGTCGTCGTTTTCGAGCAGCTGATCGATTCCGGACATGTACATGTGCATGTGTACGTGCAAAAATTTCCGACCAATTGGTTTTTCCATATTTTTCACTCCGATGGAAATCCCAATTGTGTTAGTAAAATTTCTAAATTTTCACCGAGAAATGAAACAAAATGCCACGTCGATCGATTAAATCGAAAAGGCATGGCCACGAAGTACTAATAATAAACTGTTCACCAAATTATTAAAAAATTCTTACAATATATGTGCCTAACGCGTTATTTTATTAACTTGGGAACTTTTGAACCTATAAATTCAGTAATTCTTCAATATATACGTATATATAAAAGAACAAATGGCGTCCTTTCACACACTAATAAACAATATTAACAAAAGATTATTTTCAGGATTTCCTTTAGAGAGAAAATATGGAAAAATATGGAAACTGTAGAGAAATAGCGTGCAAAAGCATGCGTGCAAAAGCATTGTACTCACATACGCATAAAACGGCGACAAATGAACATAAAAGATAATCGTCGATATCGGTGAAAAAAAGTAAGATGAAATATCGTAATGTATACAGAGTGTCCCATTTTAATCTATAAATACAATCATCTCCGAAACTACTCGTCATTTAAAAAACGTCTCAAGTACATTTTGTTACTGAGAGAGCAGTAATTTGATACACTCTTAGCTTGTCTCTAGCACAAAGTATGCACATATATGAAAATAGTAGTTATCTCTTATACGTGTCTATCTAGGGACAAACTAATTGTAAATAAACACAATTTACTGTCCTCTCAAAATAGAAAAAAAAAAAAAGAAAATACATGAGACAGTTTTCAAGTTGACGAATAGTTTCGAAGATAATTGCATTTATAGATTAAAATCAGAAACACTCTGTATAGAAATGCTACTTACCGTGATGGGACAGCAATCCAAAATACGAGAAAGCAGCTGTTTAGATGTTTCATCCTCGGCGAATATCGGCACTAAACAGTCCCCAGCACGAAGGCATAACCTACACGTTCCACCGTTCGACGTGCAAGATTTTGCGTAGTCTGTCGATTGTTTCATTCTTCTGTATAACTCGAGTCCGTTGTCGTTGTCTCTTCGTTAATAGGCGATACGATGTTCGTTGTATCTAGTTGCAAACACAAAATCACGTCACGTTGTTCTTACCCTGAGTGTTCGTACGTATGTACGTAGGCCTTGGTTGGAGCGTGTTGGCCACATGTTCAGCATTTCACCCTTCTTACTAGTGGGGCGCGCTTTTCTGTTGTATTTAAATATCACGTGACTACCTACCGTACAACGACGAATAGCAAAACTGGACATATGGAATTTTAACATAAATGACACTCCATTCCAAAACAAGTCCACATTATGTATCTTCATTATATTAAGATTAAAAAAGAATTAATCGTTAAATGCTGCGCAAATACAAATAGAGACTTTCGAAAAGGTTAGACTCTAACCTATAAATGTTTAATCCAGCTGAAGGTTTAGGTTATGAGAGAGAAGTGTCAAAAAGTTTCAAAAAGTGTGGTTTGCGAATATTACTCGCTGTCGTTGTACTTTTTATTATTAACTTTTAAAACTGATGGCAAATACTTCTCGGAGACATAAAAATTCAAATTCAACTATCGAGTAAAGAGAAGGTATTTTTATATCAAGTCAAATTACATTCTAAAAAGTGGACATTCATTTCGAAAAAAATGTAATGTGTAAATGAGGCACTTGTTTTGGAACTTGAAGGAGTTTTTGTATTGTAATTTGTATTATTATTTCTGTATTACCATTTTGTCATAGTATTTATTTTTGTGTTAATATTACATCTTTCAAAACATTGAAGAAAAATCTTTTTTTGAATCTACGAATTTATGAATTTGAAGATTGAAGCTTCTGCTTTACGATGACTGCCGTACAATTATTATATCTACCGTACAATTTCTCTTCGCCAAGTTGTTGAGTTTTGAATACGTCCGAAAATGATGTCTGGACTCGAGACCCTAGAGACGTTTAGGTGGGGGGACCTTTAGTCTGCATATAGTTGGGCATAGAAACGGTCACTCATCCGTGGGCCGGTCCGCACGCCGCGTGCTTAACCCTCCGACTACTGAAGCATGAAGTTCTGTGCCGGAATCATTTCTGACCCACACGTACATTCCACTAACACATATTTAGATCGCCCGAGCGGCTCACCGATATTGATTGTACCGACACAGTGACGGACATCCGACTCCTATAGAAACACGTAGAGCATATAGGAACAAATAATAATCACATAAATAATAAAGTTATATTCATTTATATTTATACATTGACGAGTGACAATCGCTGTATCCTTGCTAGGTCCAATACGTTGCCAATTACGTCCAAATCCCTGGTTTTCTGGAACTACATTATCCACAGTTTCTGATATATTATCTTCTTTCTATCATTTCGACTTCGGCATTTTTGCATTTGGGGTTCAGCGTCACTATTTGATACACTTCCGTTGTCTGTTGATTGTTCACTGTCAGGAACGTCTTGTGCATATTGAGCGAGAGAAGACAAAGAAATGTTGTTCGTTGGCAATGAGGACATTGCGTCAACAAATGGAAGCAAATAGAAACAACGGAAAAAAGTAATAAAAAGAACAAAAATAATAATTGCTTCGATTTGCTGCAAACGCCTTTCCTCCTCAGAGCGTTACCAAAAACTGATTCCTTTGTTTTCAGTCTTCGTCACTTCGGCACTTTGGCGGACACGTGTTAGCCACTTGGCGTTCGTGCGTTAGTGCGATCAGATTTCAGCTACTGACACAAGCAGCTCCCATCACTGTGTGCGTTATTGCATTCGAGTAGCTCTCGATACGGGTCAAAAACTCCAGTACAGTAGGCGGATGGTTAACGTGGTGATCGCCATCGATCCATTGGTTAGCTGCGTCCACATGCGAACATTGAAAAGTATACATACATCTTGTATATTATGAATGACGAACACCGTGGGGATTCGACATCAGTTGGAGTCGCTATCTCCATCCTGGCCGTCGATTGAAGAGAGTGAGACGTAGGACCTAAGAATTGGATCGAGACAGTGGTGGAATGCGAAGACCCGCAGTGACATATGTAGGTACTCCAAGACGTCAGAAATGATGTCTTTTATTTATTTATTTATTTATTTATTTGACACTCGAAACGATAAGCGCATGGGACAAAAAAAGGACTCACGAACGATCGAGTAGCATCGATTTTATTACAGTACATTCTTCGAAAGAGATACACGAAATATAGCTATATACTTAACAATGAGAGAGGACAAATCGGAGAACAGACTAGAATTACATAGTAAGGGAAAAGGAAGTCGCCTGTGCGCGAATGACACATCACGATCGACACTTACTCTCGATAGGAAATCTATTGAGCACGTTAATCGTTGCGTAAATATTCGCATTGACACATAGAAAATTACATAATACTGTGATGCATTGGAGATAGGAAATCGTGCGGCGAAATCGTAAGAATGAATTGCTCTCGCGTTAAAATGGATACGCATCAATAGCGTTAGAAACACTAACGCTGGGTGAGTCTCGTCGATGCAGCCAATCTTCGATACATGTGTATATGCATGTATACTACGCGACTTTCTTCTTCTCTCCACTGCCACCAATTGGTCGCGAATCTAACAAGCGAGTATTCAAGTATTTAACACCAGAACTATCAAAGTGGTCGAAATTTATAACGTTCTATAATTGGAAATTTTACACGTTTATGCAGTGTATTTTAAGATATTCGAGCGACTTTTGATAAAGTATATCAACAGAAGCTCGTGCTCTTTATCGTATTATTATTGACTCTCTCTCTCTCTCTCCCTCTCTCTCTCTCTCTCTCTCTCTCTCTCTCTCTCTCTCTTTCTGTAAGGGGGCATTGTACTTAAATTTAGCTAAAACGGCTAAAATTATAAAATTTTTAAATTAATTCATGTACCGATAATGAACGTACGCTGTTGCATGATATAAAATGTAATATAAAAATTAAATAATTTTTCCTTAGATAATTTAAAAGTATAATTTAAAAGTTACTTTAAATGTGCAAGTTTTGTGGGTGCAAATAGTCCCAATTTCAAAAATTGGCGGGGGGACTACTTGATGTATTTCGTAAACAAATTGCTAGTTGTAGGTGATACAAAAAAAAATGTTTCCTAGGGCAAAGAAACGCTTAACTTTTCCGAGGTACCTTGCACTTTAATTTCTCTGCTACGAACGTTATAGTTTGGACGTTGGTAATTCTAGTGTCAAGTAGTTGAGTAGCAATGTTTCAGTCGCTCAATGTCTTTCTTCCCGCAGTTGCCTGCATCCGAGACAACATTGAAATCTTAATCGTTAGCCGTGGTGATACAAAATCAACGTTCCGACTGCCATCGTCGGAATGGGTAAGACGCAGACATCGGGTAAAAGGGAAGGGAAACGAAGTGAAGGAAGGAAAATGTTCGACGAGGAGAACAGTACGGTCGATATTGCTGATCGACGACAGGTACATACGGACAGGTGAACGAAATTGATGTTCTAGATTTGGAAAAAGAAATTTTTCTCAATACTTTCGTGCGCAGCTCCGCAATCGAACATGATTGTCGTTTTTTTTCAGTTTGTACATACGATACAGATCATCGTGATACTTAGGTACTTGGAAAAGCACGAAATCGCGAGACTCGCCGATTAAGGACGTTTTAGGACCGTTGCGAACGTCTCTTCTCTCCGCGCCGGATCACAATTCCGCCGGATTGATTATCAAAATTAACTCGCAAGAACGCAGACTTCGACTGCCGCGGCCAGCGACTGGAATTCGGTGTGTAAAGGTCACACTCGACTTTTGTCGCGAGTTCTCGTTCTGGATGATTGTCAACGATTGTCCATGATGATTGTCCACGCAGTTGAGCGATCTGCTGTCGCGTTTCTTGCAGTCACGCTGATTGAACCGTGATTGGGCAAACGAAAACTAGTTCTCGGCGCGAACCTTAAGGACACTTTGTTTTCTAGTAGTGCCGCGTAATTTTCCCCAGAAAAGCAAGACCGGTCAGTCTCGATTTGCCAGCGATCACGTTCTCGAGTACTATTGGCGCCTCAACGTTTCAACGCGCGTTCGCGTCTCTCCCTCTTCCATTCTTCAGTCCTCTCACGCCTCTTTCACTTACATCACCACGCACACATTTGCTTACCTTCCAAAATATAGCAATATCAATACGTTGTAACAATATATCTTTTTTCTTTTCTTTCCTTTTCTTTTCTTTTCTTTTCTTTTCTTTTCTTTTCTTTTCTTTTCTTTTCTTTCCTTTTCTTTTCTTTTTGTCTCGAGAATATACCACAGATATACTTCTAAATGCGATCAAGGAGAGGGAACGCCGCCAGAGTGGAAGATGTTCAAGCTGTCACGCGACGATCGCGCATATTTGATATGTATACGTGCGTCAAAGTACACATAGATTGCGAGATTTGACACTTTTACACGCAAACTAACCTCCACACGTCTTCCTATTAAATTTCAACACACACAACTTACAAATATATACATATATCTCCATTTCTCCTGTACAACGTATTACGATTTTTCCACGTCTTCTTCGTTAGATATATACAGGGTAGGCCAAACGTTTTTTCCCACCTATCTTTTTTTAATAAAACATCAAAATATAAGAAACAACCACTTTTACTAATTTTAAATTAAATTTAATTTAATTTGTGCACTTTAATCTGTAAAAAAAAAAAAAATTAAAAAGAATATAAAATAATTACGGATTTATTTCAGTAGAAAGTGATTCGTGGCCCACCCTATTCTTCTGTACTTTCTTCATACGTTTTTTCTCTGCTACAAGCCAAAACACGTAACAAAGCTCTACATACAATCTATCAATCAATGTATAGACGTACTCTTCTCGATGCAACGAAACGGTTATCATGCTGTGTCATTGTCTGCTTTTGAAAAAAATCAGAATACTCCAGTTTCGGCCTTCGGTCGAATACGTCTCGAAGAAAACGGTGGCAATATTCAGAGAAAAAGCGAATGCATACCATTAAGAGATTGATTGCGTTATCAGTAATTGACTTGGGACTCGCGTTAAATCAAACATATATACTCACGAAAATATGCACGGAGAAACGTTTCTTCCTTGCTCCCCGTTTCAACGTCTCGCAGATTTACATTTATTACACACATTTACAATCAGGTATCGCGAAAGTGTACACACGTACAGGGTGGGCCAGAAGTTTGCCATCTATTTTTGTTCTCTTGACGAAACATCGAAATATTTATAAGAAAAAACTGATTTCGTTAATTTTAAATTAAACTTACGTTCAAACGTGATTTTTTTAAACATTATGTTTTAAAAATCTGTTGAAAAAAAGGTTTTTTTGAATATATAATAAAACAAAATATATAATAAAAATATATATAATATGATAAAAATATATATATAATATGTAATAAATATATATACATATATAATATAATAAAAATATATATATATAATATATAATAAAAAAATTATTTATTATATATTTAAAGAATTTATTTTAGCAGGAAGTGACTTTTGGCCCACTCTGTACATGTGTACGTATATGTACACGCGTCTGCCTGCATATTATACATACATATATGTAGGTCGCATTGTGTTTTCGTGTATCGTTCGACGATTCGTCTCTTACTTTCTTACTTTCAACTGCGTCGGATGTACGTACATACATGCATACGTAAACGAAACGACAGACGACGTCACGCGTATTTCGTTCGTCTCGGAATCTCTTGAAAACGGTTTACACAAACGATAATTATGTACGTAATTGTTGTATGGAGTTAGGCCACTTTAGTTCAATTCAGTTTAGATTCTACCGGATAACCGATAACATTTCAGATCCGAGTGTTATGTAGTAGATACGTATACTGTACATGTATAGTATACACCTTAAGAATAAAATTATCCGTACGTTGACTCTCTGTGCATGTGTGTGTGTGTGTGTGTGTGTGTGTGTGTGTGTGTGTGTGTGTGTTTGTACCAATCCAAATCAAAGAACTCACCTCCTCATTCGACGCAAGATCCTTGTAAAATTATTCCCTTCGAGGTTCCTCTCTTCCTTTCTTACGTCCTTTGATCACGTCGCGCGAGTCGCGAACAATGATCAGTTGCTTTTCACAATAATGACTACGCCGTATATACGCGTAGATATTCTACGAACCGTTCAAGCGTCGAATTGTTTGTTGAAGAATTGATACTGCAAAGAAATAAAAAATAATCGTATAACGTTGTATACGATCACTGACTTTCATCGTGTCATCGACAAAATAAATAACAATTTACGTATTGAAGCGACCGATACAAATTCGCTTTGTCGATTTCGGAAAGATCGTCACACGCAGGATATACAACATCGTGTGCGTACGGGAGAGAAGTACTTGCGAAGCGTACATGCGCAATGGTACAGAGTGGGCCAAATATTTCTTCCCATCTACTTTTCATTTCATAAAATGTCAGAATACAAGAGAGGAAACCAATTTTGTTAAATGTATAATAAAAAAAAAAAAAAATTTGTTTGCAACAGACTTGTTTTAGTAAGGAAGTGATTTCTGGCCCACCCTGTACATAGATTGGATAAACTGCAAACACTTGCTCAAAGTAGGTCAGCAGGCAATTAGGAAGAAATGTAACCGGGCGAGCGAGAGAGCGAGAGAAAGAAAGAAAGAGAGAGAGAGAGAGAGAGAGAATCCGGAGGACAAGAGGTAGGATACAAGCGTCCCTTTTGCTATAGGCGCGGTGTTCAACTTTCGTCGTGATCGCGAGAACGAGAATTTAAAACACGTCGGTGTGTTCCTCTTCTATTTCTCCTCCGTCGTTTCGTTTCTTTTTTGACGAAAGGAAAGAAAAGACGGGTGCAGCATGGCGGTATCCGGATTCGCGAATTGCATATCTGCTAACTAAGGAAAAGAAAAGCATCGGCCACGTTTGTTTGCCTTGTTTTTTTTTTCTTTCTTTTTTTTTTCTTTTTACTTTTTTTTTTTTTCTTTCTTTTGGATAAGCTAGTGAATATCCTTACACTGTAACGAAGGATCAGTGGAAAGACTGTCCCGGTAGCTGGAGTAATGGAGAAAGTGTTGGTGGTGGTGGTTGTGGTGGTGGTGGTGATGGTGGTGGTAGTCCATTGAGGTTGAGGCAGATGGGGGGTTGTTGTCTTACCATGCTGGAGCCAACCTGCTGCAGCAATCCAGTGCCTTGCTGGGAGGACGTTGAAGAGACGGATGGACGCCTCGAGCCCCGTATGCTATTCATGCTCGAGCTAACCAAGTATGGCACGCTGCTGCTGGTAACTGGCATCCCTCCACCCTATCGAGAAAATGATTTTTCCTTATCGTTTCCTGACGTTGTTTCGTCATCGATTCCGCGTGACACTCGCGCTTTTTAGATGGTTTTATTCTACCGATGCATTTTTGCAATTATTGGATATCAAGGCATTTACGTTACAATGTCTCTGGTATGCTCGGCGAAAAAGATGTTTCTTTGACAAATCGAAGGGAGGGGGAAAAACTACTTTGGTCATTTACGAACAGGTGTTGCCAATGTTCCTTTTCCTTTTTCTGTTGCTCTACATCAATGATGGCGAACCTATGACCCGCGGGTCAGAACACTGACCCACGCAGACTTTTTAAATGATATTCTTGTATAAAAGAATTTTAATTATTTTTCAAACTCCTCTTTTCAAAAAATGTTAAGAATATTACAAATGTTTGGTTAGAGTTTAAAAGTGAGAAATAAATGCTTAATTGTGTCATGGAGGATTTACCACTTGGTTGTGTATACATATAGGTATTTTAAGTCTTAAATGTTGTACGAGTTAGTTGTGTCCAAAAAATTTTATATAGCGCTTACGATTAAACAGATGTAATAAACACTAAAAAACACACTAGATCACATTCTCAGAATGGGTAGCTTTACTAGTTTTTTATATAATAAAAGAGAGAACAGACAATAAAAAATATTAAGAAATAAAGTATATATGTCCAATGTATAGTGCAGGGGTGACTGGGCACGATATGTCATCCCTTTTATATCAATTTTTTGACGTTGACATTTATTTTTTTCTCTTCACTTGCAAAAGTAAAAGTTGTAAAGCAAAAAGGAATCTTTCTAGAGGATTATAAATGTGAGAACCAAAGAAAAGTAGTTTTTAACCATCCTTTCCACCTTCCCCTTTCTACGAGCTAGTACTAAAAAAAATAATGAACAAAATTTGACCCACTTCTCAAAAAGGTTTGCCGTCACTGCTCTACAGTCTTCTCTACTTGTCAACACGGCCCATTTTTCCAAAGAACGAATCGACGAAGAAGAAACGGGATAAAGATGTAACGGCAAAGATACGATACCAAGAGAGGCGATAAATTTATATTGGATCCTCGTCGATCCTGAGGTCCGGTGCTCGAGTGGCGCCGTATGGGCAAACCATCGCCAGGTGTAACACCCGGTGAACTCTCGCAAGACGGTGCTACACGTATTTTCGGTGTCATTAGGGTGTTGTCCGATAACCGTCTACTCGTGAAGGTGTTCGCCACTTTCAAGAAATTGCTGTTGTCGTTGTTCGAAGATGAGAACCATCTGAACATGGCTGATTTGAATAATAATAACGATAAAAATTAGATAGTTAGCGTTGACTTTTAAACAGAGAGTGTACAAGGAACTGTACCACGTTACGCGTGTATCGATAAAAAAATCTATAACTTACTTATCATCGAGTTCTTTCTCGCCATATTTTCAGCTGAAACTGTCGTCGACATCGAATCTACCAAAAAAAAAAAAAAAAGATGGGATTGATTTTAAATCATCCGTATTAACGTACTCGGACGTAATTAAATAAAACAAGCCTGAAACTTTGTTTATTCTTACTTGTGCTATTTTTCCGAGCCATGTCCTCGGCCGAAGAAGTCTTGCGTTGCTCGATGCGCAAGTTTGGAATGTTGAAAGGCGCAACGTACATATTGTCCGTACTGTGTTGGTGTCGTAAACTTCGGTACCGTTCCGGGCTCGATAGTGACAGATTGTCCAAGGTCAATTGATTCCTCTGATTTCTGTTCAAAATATGCCCAAGGAAAAAAGCAGATAACAGAAACGAAAGAAGAAGAAAAGTAGAAAAACGATAGCGGTTGTCGATTAAAAATTGTCTGTTAAAAATTTCACAAGCGAAATTACAGTCGTAACGAACGTTTCATCACCTTTCGATGTGATTCAGCATGTCCTGCAACATTTTGAGAAGCAGTTCAAACTGCTCGAGATTCAGCGCTGGGTTGATGGTGTGAGGTAGCAAAGAGGGCATCGCTCGAGTCGCCATCCAGCTGACAGAAAGTCCGTACTTTTTGTCGGTTAACATCAATCTGTAAATTTCTGTCGGAGTCGAATCGTGACCCCGGCCCCGGTATCGACAAATTAGCAACAGCGATTGAGCCATCATCTTTTTATGTGTGTGCACCCCCTGTGTGTTTAAAAGTTTTAAAACAGGCACCGTTTTTTTTTTTTTTTTTTACGTTGCATATATACATACAGGGTGGAAGGAAAAGTTTGTTCGTGGCTATCATGTCAGATGAATTCTACATCTTCGATTTGTGACCTTGACCTTGAATTTTAAGGTCAAAATTTTGCATTGTATTGTATACTTGTCACGAAGGTAAAACTTTTTCAAGGAACTTGATAGGTTTTTTTTTAAAAATGGCAAAAAAGATTTCTTATCATTTAACACTGCGGACGCGTGCGTGCTAACAGCGACTTTGTGGTTTCACCAACGTTTGATTTATCATAGTTGTAGCATCAGTGTGAGTGTAAATAATCAAATGATAAAACGAACTGTTAACATTGTTCGAAATGTAAACGTTACATTCACGCGTCGATGTACATAAAGTCGCTGTTAGAACACATCCTGGCACAGGGTGGAAGGAAAAGTTTGTCCGTGACTATTATAGATGAATTCGACATCTTTAATTTGATAAAAATACACACGTGTAAAGAACTTGTCGCAAATTGACCAAATTGTTGAACTTGAATTTCAAGATCAAACAATTTTTCTTTTTTGCGTTGTTTTTCCACTCATTACGAAGGTAAAACTTTTCCAAGGGACCATAAATTGCAATCTAATAGTTCTTTCGAAAAAAATGGCAAAAAATGTCTTAATTGCGGACACGCACACGTTAACAGCGACTTAATGTTTCTGGATGCGTGGATGTCCATTTTACGTAATTTTCGCATTAGGTTTCACCAACATTTCATTTGTCATGGTTGTAGCATCAGTGTGAGTGTAAATAATAAAATATAAACATTACGTAATATGAGTTTTTGCTCGGGGAGAGAGAAGGGTGCACACGGTGTGTAACTGTAAAATGAAAAAAGAAAAAAAAAAAAATAACGTTACGCGTGTATACTTACGTACAACCCGAACGATTATCTCCGGCTCTTGAAGTTTCACATTGAACAACAACGGTAGGATGCAGTCGATGATTTTCTGCTTCTCCAACCGGTTTAAAATACAAGGAATCACGTTCATGAGTATTCGGGAGTCCAGTAAATTCTTTTCAAAGGCTTGAAGAAGTTTTGGTAGAACGATATTCCGAACGGATTCATCGTCTATGTACTCGGTCACGTTCGACACGGCTACGAATGCTGCGGTCTATAAATTAATTTAAACGTGTTACTTTTTTCCTATCCTCCTTCAATTCTTCTTGTTTCTTTTTTTCGTGTATTATTTTAGTGGCTAATTTATTTTATAAATAAATAAATAAATATATATATATAATTATTTAATTTCCTTTAATATTTCCCTCCTGAATTTCATTTTTCATCTATTATTTCATAAATAAATAAATAAATAAATAAATATATATATATATATATATAATTTATATGTATCATAAAATAAATTTATGTATACAGATACATATTGTTTATAAAGTGATAAAATGGTAACATTTATAACATGGACAATCGGCGTGTTAAAAATTTTTAAACATCTTTAGTCTTCTTGAGATATGGGCTACTCAGAAAATTTCCAACTCCATAAATCACAGTTAGTCTTGAGGCTGTTGAAACATCGCACCGATTTTTAGTATTTCATGTTCCAACGTGTGTGAGACACTTCAAGTGAGAAGATTTCCCCTGCACGATAGGAATTGCTATGTCATAAACACTTGCGTACTAAACTATTGCGTAAACAGCATGATAGTTCTCAGAAGACGAGGTTGTTTACCAGACCTATCACCAAAGAGAGAGAGAGAGAGAGAGAGAGAGAGAGAGAGAGAGAGAGAGAGAGAGAGAGAGAGAGAGAGAGAGAGAGAGAGAGNAAGTGGTAACGAGAAATTCTAGAACTCTCCCCTCTCATCATACTTTCTGAATCTTAACGACTCTTCAAAGTTTTTTGAAAAACTACGGCAGACTACGATTTTCTTACACAAAAAGGACTCTGATTACAAGTTTAATGAACAACAGCAACTAATCCAGGGTCAATTTCAGTTTTCAGTGACAATTCAGTTACGAGTGTTCAATCAAGCGTGGCAGCGATTCATTCATATTCAATGTTCGGCTGACAATAAGGAAATCCTTCAAACTCGGTCGTCGGTATGTTAGTTATGTCGTATAATCTAGAGCTGTATTAATCGGGTAGAGGTCGCCAGGATTATTGTATAATATAGTCAATATTAATTCAAATCAGAGTCACGCATCAATGGGTGGTCCTTGGACGCCAAGTGACCGACATCAATCGTCCGTGTATATACAGTGTGTCAAAAAAATACACACATCGCAGGGCCTTAGTTTTTCAGCGATAATTTCTTGTAAAAAATTAGGAGATTGATGCAGCGCGTCTTTCGTACTTTCTAGAATTTCATTGTACACACACGTAGAAGCAATATGCTTATTTAGAAGCAATAGTAATTTACTAACGAAAGAGAAGCGAAAAAGTCTGGAAAGCGTTTATTGAATAAATTTATTATTAAGCACTTTGGTAGGCAAGAAAGTATTGCACACTTATGTTCTAAACGTTTCCTCATTCTTACACGTTGTGTAATAGATCCAATGTCAAGGATGTAAACACATGTTCGCTGTATTCTGAACGCTTTGTCCCGAGTTATGACTCGAAAGTAATGAAATGCTAGTGCGCGTGCGAGAAGAGATTATTTCTTTGCATAGAAGTAACTACAGTTGTCTTAAATCTAAAATCTAAAATCTAATTAAATCTTAAATCTAAAATTCTCTGCAGTGCAGAGAAATACGTAGTGAAAAAAGATAGCAAGAAAAGTCATAGTATACAAAAATATATAAATTACACCAAACATAAGCGTGCAAGTATTTTCTCGACTACGAAATTTTCATTTTTCTTCTATTATTTTTAACGAGTAAATTTACCATTGTTTTCACGAAGTTGTTACAACGAAGTTCCAAAAAAATACATACTACTTTTGTCTCGAGGTTTGCTGAAAAACTAAATGCGCAGGTACGTACGTTTTCTGTGATCCAAAACTGTGTACAAAAATATGTAGGCAACGATTTCGAAATTTCGACCCCTTCCGAAAGTTGTATTTCGCGATTTAGCTTTCCGCGATCTGTGAATACTCGAATCGTCGTGAGTCGAGAGTTCGATAAACTTTGGAAATGCTCGGGCAAACGTCCGAAGAAAACGAAAACGGTGGATCTGGAGAAGCGGGGAGGGTGACAAACCTTCTGACTACAAAAGGGCCGGCGTTTGAACGGCCGAGCGCTTTTACCCGGGAGCCAACGAATTGAAAAGGTCGCGAGTTTCACGTCTACACCCTCTAAACCTAAAATCTCGAGAGTCGGGGCAGCAGAAGAAGATCCGGAGAGCCCTAAATGAGCCGAAAATAGTGCAGTTAGTGAAGTGAGATTATCATCATTTTGAAATGGGCCGCTCGTATCAATCGTACGTTAATCGTACGAGATGTTACACCAACGTAACAGCAATAATTGAGGCGATAGAGTCACAGCATACGATAAACACACAAATTTTAAACATTTCGAACAGACTGACGAATCTCGTGACGCACGTTTTGGATCCGATAACTTTTCCAGAGTTATCGGAAAGGAACATTTCATTGTACCCACCCCCACCAAGAGCACCCCAACAAGGACAGATTAGAACATGTCGACGATGTCCTAGGTGCGAAGTTGATATGAAATAATATGGCGTATGAGAACGAAATGATGCGCGAAATGAAGGTAAAATATTACGGGACTCAAGTCGCATCCGACAGAAATTAATTAGCCCTGTATAGAGAACATTGCCCAGGCAAGCGGCGTAGCCTGGGCAACATAGTCCCGTAAAGTAATTGCGAAAATGTCCAACCGGGATCATTCAATGCAATTTCTCTAGAAAAACTTACTTCCCCAATCGTGATTGGCAACGGCACAGAGAGAATTGACCTTACACAAGATGACTGTCTTCGACAACAGCAAACTCTTCCGGCAACATCTCGCTCGCAAGGAAATTAATCCTCCTCCTGGTGAGGACCATGGTTTCGAGCGACCGTTACACTCTGTACAGTATCGATGACCCTAAATATGTATTATTAGTTGGATATCCGTGTGAGTCAGAAATGACTCCAGCACTGGACGCTGAGGTTCAGTAGTCGGAGGATTAAACAGCACATAAAGAAAAATTGCACCTTTCCTCGATAAGTTAGGATAACGATTAGGGAAAGGATGTTGTGACCGTTGGCAATTCCAATTGTTAAACGGTTGCACTAAACGGCATTTCAGTCCAGAAGATGAAATTGATGTCCAAAAAGAGAAAAGAAGACCGCGAAGAGATCCTACCCCGTTTCACGAAGGCGAGATAGAGATCTTCAGTTTGATTGAGAGACAAAGAAAAGAGACTGGTGTATTCTCTATCAAATCCAGGTCATCGAGCCACCACTGGAACCATGATGACATAACATTGTTGAGGTTTGACAAATTATTTGGCAGCTCTGTAATCATGTCCCTTTTACGAGAAGAAGAAAGATCCACCACGGAGGATCCAAGAGGAAATAAAATTAACTTTGTTAAACCAAAGTATCAAACAGGTACGTCAATTTGAACGAGCCTCGCTAGTTATTTTCAAAAATTTTGCCCTTGAGTTTTTGCGCTGTACGCGCACTGTATACATTTTTAAATTGACGAAGACGAACGAACCGTAGTCGCGGAACGAAGAATAGAGCGAGGTGTGAAAATATACAGGGTGGGCCAAAACTTACATCAAAATATAAGAAAGAAATTAAATTTCATTAATTTTAAATCGTGATATTTTTCATTATGTTTTAAAAATTATTTCTTTCAAATGTCGACCGCCAGAGCGTTCGCAAAAGAAAAAAAAAATATATATATATAATAAAACAATTACGGATATACTTTACTATAGTAAAGAGGTGATTTTTGGCACACCCAATTCTATTTTACAGGACCTACCTCCTGACAAATATACAAATGTATACGTACCTGTACTTGGATAGTTGAATTCTCAAAGGACGTATATAACATTGGAAGTATCTCGCTCTCGATATATTCCCGAGATGTTTTCTTTAATATCAAATGCAAGTTTTCCAGAAGCGTCACTGTACCCTGAATCGACTTCCGATTCGAGAAAAGTGACCTACGCGACGATTCCAATTTTGTAAATTAATGCAACGACACGAAAATAAGAGGGAGAGTGAGAGAGAACAAATATGTTGTAATATTTACCGCAACGATGGAAATATAATTTGATCATACTCTTCTTGTGTACTATTTTGTACAATGTAAAATACTGGTTGTAACACAGCCGATTGAACTTCTTGACTTTCCAATTCAGTTTGTAAATACGTCCAGATGTGCTGATACCAAAGCTTCTGTAAATTCAAATATACTGTTTTCGTATATCTTATATTTTCATTTATTACCTTACCTTACCTTATATTATATTATATTATATTATATTATATTATATTATATTATATCATATTATATTATATTATACTATATTATATTATATCATGTCATATATTACATTTCAAGCGAATGTACGCATTACCCTTGGTATATAAGGCAATATTCCTTTCAAAGTAGTCGTATAAAAATGCTCTTTCTGCAGTACGTCTTTCATCTTACTGACATCCAGAAATTGAAGCGCGTATACGGGTGGATCTCTGCAAAATGAAAGGAGATCTTGTCGAGAATGATTGCGCGAAGGAGTCAAAAATGTTCTTCTTTCTTTTCGTTTGAGCAAACGTTCACATACTGAAAATATTTGATCATGGATAAAACTTGAATGGTTGGCCTCTTTTCTGGATCTACGTGTAACAATCGGGAAACTGCCTCACGAAGTGGAAGAGGAATTAGATGTAGCACCATTTCGACTTGTTCTTTCAGCTGTGGGAAACAAAGACGGCAGATGATTAAATACGTTACGTACAAAATATAAAATTATAAATATAATTGTAAATATAACGCTACAGAGTATGGGTATCCAACTTTTTACATTTTCCTCATTGGCCTCATTGGCCAATAAAAATTTGTTCAATGCCGCACACGGTTTGCATATTTTTTTTTTATCAGTTCAATGTAACCTATATTATTTGTGAGGATATTAAAACAACTTTTATAATGAGACGATACACTGATTAGAAAAATACATTTATATCAATTGAAAAAAATTATGAAAATTTCTAACAAGTACGCTGAGCTTGTTTTTTTTAGATACCAGTTCATCAATATGTCTGGTTTGATACAGATAGTGACAATACGAAGAGTATCTCCAAGATGCTTGTCTAAAATTTTTGCCTTTATTTTATTTTTTTGTGGGCTTCATATGGGAAAAAAACCTATTCGCAAATATAATAATATATATTCTCCAACGTCATAAACATTCACGATTAAAATTATCGAAATATATATGAAATTCTTATTCAATTGTTCCAATTTTGCGCGACCCACGTGAATAGGGTCTAATTGCAAGTCTAATTGCAACAGGTTGGACACGCCTGCTACAAAGAGAGAAAAGTGTGCAAAAGAAACACAGTTAACACGTCATTCGTAAGGGAAGGAATTTTGTCAGAGATTCGGTCGTATCTTCTGGGTTGCTTACGTTTTCCAGCTGTTTCAGGTACTCGGAGCAACTATGATTCGCTTGAATTAACGGCCGTCCTTGATTGAAAATTGCACATACCGTCATACCAAAGCTATACATGTCACTGTAGAAGCCTCCCATTTTCTTTTGTTGCACTTCTGGAGCTGTGGCACGTGGAACGGATTATAAACACATAAATATCTGCTGGTATTACGAAAGAGAAAACGATACTCCTCAGAATCGAAAAGAAGATATATTCTTACCAATGTAATCGAGATTCGGCTGTGTCATTTTTGGCATGCGGTTAGTCCAAGGTTGCAACGATATCGTTGTCATTTCGTTAACTTTTTCTACGAGAGAGGGAGAAACGGGCAAATCTCAATAAGTAAAAATGTCTCGAAGATTCAACGAAAATTCTGAGTCTGAGATCGACTTACCAATAAATTCGAGCCCCGACAATTTCCAAGTGCCCCTCTTGGTAATTATGATGCTGGCAGGGCAAACGTTCCTGTGAAGAGCTTTGTAGGTCCCGTGAAGGAATAGCAGAGCCTCTGTGATCTGAGGAGAAACAGAGGGAAGAGAGACGGAGAAATATAAAAAGAGAAGGAAAGAGATGGGCGAATGGGGGAATGTCGTCATGATTCGCACTCTCCTCACCTGCAACAGTCCATATTTGATTTCGATGTCGAGCAACTCGTACTCTTTCGCGTACGTGGCGCGATGACTAGCGACCGAGGAGGTTTGTTTCGTTGCGTTGCTCGACAATTGGCCAATGTTGTTCGCACGTTGTTCCTGATACGCCAGAACGTTTGCAAGACTGGCCAGAACCGGCTCCGACGCGAATGCCAAACTATCCGCGCACTCCTCGACCTTGTATGCCTAGACACATGGACGACAGTGGAAAACGATGACTTTTCTTCGTAACGTAAAACGAAAGAAACAAGAGAGAGAGAGAGAGAGAGAGAGAGAGATAAGAGTGAGGAGAAGCAAGAGGATGAAGCAAATCTTACTTGCAGTATCTTCGGATGAGAGAATCGTTCCATTTGTCGCGCCCCGTTCCGTAAAATTTCCGTAACGGTCTCCTTGCGTTTTGGCTTGTGCAGCTTGTCGACCGATCTCTTGTCGAAAAAAAATATCGAGACTTCCTGAAACGAGAAAGACTTAAGCGAAAGGAAGAACGAGGAGAAAAAGAAAAAAGGAAGAAAGAAGCTAGAGCGTGAGAAGGGAGTGAAAGGAAATGGAATCGGTTCTTACGGCTCGAAATTACCTTTCGATCGGTTTTGGTGTAACCGTCGTATATGCGCCAAGCGTTCTCGGGACCCGCGGTGGCCGATTGTTTGCCAACTTCGTACAAATTTTGGAGAGCGTTCGGAAGTAGGATGCTCGGTGTCGAGCCGCTGCTTTTCGACTTGGCGAACATAACGACACTCGCATTAATCCTCAATGTTCATCGAATCACCTTTGCGATCAGTCTGTCACTTCTTCGTTTCGGTCTCCGTTCCGCTCCGCTCCGCTCCGAGCCGAGTTTCCTCAAATCTCGATTGCCCCGTTTTCCATCGGTGTTGCTTGCTTCTCCCACGAGCGCACCTGCTCAACTATCAACAACAAACGTTTTCTTCAATCGACGTACGACGATACAATCGATTCTTCTCAGCGTGCAACAAGCTGCGAGATCGACACGTTCAAAGGACAATATTTTCATTAATCACCCCTCGTTTTCTTCCCTCCTCCTCCTCCCCCCCTCCCCCTCGTCTCGTGAATTCGTTTCACGGCCCCGCTTTACTCTTCTTCTCCTTACGCAATACTCCTTATCGATTTACCACCTCGTGCCTTCGTAGACAATCCTTCGTGTATATCTACGTGTTGCGCGGCGAGAAAGCAGAGAAAACTCGAAGGGGGGAGGGGGGTAGGGAAAAAATAATCGAATAATCGGGATCGAATCGAATCGAACCAACAACAATCTTGCGTTTCTACCGAACGCGCGTTTTTTTTTCGGATTTTAGACACGCAGGAGACTCGTAGACTCCTTTGCACCCACTTTTGTTCCCACGCCATCGTGACGACGCAAGCTTATCAATGACACGCTTAACGATAAATATAGGAAATCGAACGCGCGATACGATATCGTTACCCTCGTCACTGCGGAAACGGGAAATGAGAATAATTTCCGGCATCAATCGACGAACGATGATACATATCGATTCGCAATCACACGAAGAATAAAAGAAGCCCCGCTTCTCCCGAAGGTTCGAGTTTCGATTTTCGATTAACAACAACAACAACAACAACAACAGCCACGGACGTCGTATTTTCAATTCGAACAAATTTTCCGCGTCGAACGAAAAACTGGTATCGATGTCACGATCGATAGAAAGGGGATAGCGCGTCGTTTGTAATTTCTTTTCTCTTTTTCTTTCTTTCTCTGGTTCAACGAGAACGAAAGGGAACGGGAAAACGAATAGAAATTAATCGATCGAGCTGACTGGAGGCTCGACGAAGAGCAACTTGTTGAAAATCGCAGTTTCAGAGCTCGTTCCGAAGCTGTTGTCGTCGAGACCACCAACCCCAACGACGGTGCAGGTGTTTGCAAACAGGCAGGCGAACACTCTCGTGATCACGTCGAGATCGTCCATTCACAGGCGATTGAAACCCGATTCATCCTCGCACAAGTCCGCGCGGGCCAAGTCCGGCGATCGATTCGCGTATTGCCGGGCCGATTGTTCAAAGACACCGGACAGCAGCCTTCCCCGCTCGCACGACAAATTTATTACTCGTACGTTTGCACAGTGCATCGTGTCGCTTGCCTGTCCATCCGGCGACACGACCTGTCGGATCGTCGCGCGAATAATAGACAAAGGATCAATTAGTCTTACGATTGATTAGTTTCAATGGAACAGCAAGCCAAGAGAAAGAGAGAGAGAGAGGGAGAGAGAGAGAGAGAGAGAGAGAGAGAGAGAGAGAGAGAAGTTGGAGAAGGAAGTGGGAGAAAGAAAAGAAACAGGGCAAGGGAGCAGCAGAGAGACGACGTAAGGAGAGCAGCGAGAAAAGGCGACAAAGGGGAGAAAGGGAGAAAGGGAGAAAGGGAAAGGAGTAGCGGAGAAAGGGAAAGGAAAGTGAGAGAAAGCGGACGGGGGAGGAATCGAAGCGGAGGAAATTGCTCGGCGAGAAGGAAACGAGCGAGGAAAGAAAGAGCACAAGGCAGCTGAAAAAGTTTTGGAATGGCTCACCTGTTGCCGACGACAACGGGAATCGTATACCGCGTATAGTGGCACTATAAGCATGAAGAAACCGAAAGAAGGGTAATGCGCGATGCGCGGTGATTCGGAGCACGCGCGTGCCGCGCGATCCTCGCGCGAGCAATCCGAAGGGACAGTCGGGCACGATTGACGCGCGACTGCATCACCACCGAATACGAATATCCCGACACTCTTGCTCCCGATTTTCTATTCTCTAAACTATTTCTCTCCGCTCTCTTCCGTGTCTCTTCGCCGATCTTCCCACCTGTCGCACCTCTCGGAAAACCACTCCGTTAGTTTGTCGTTAGTTTCTTTGTCTCCTAATAATTCTCCGGATCGCTCTCGTCCCGTTTCTTTCCTTCCTTTCTTACGTGTCTGTATGTTTGTTACTATCCTGTTTCTACGTTCTTTTCTTTGTCTCGTCGTTGATCGATGTAAAAGTGAAAGTCGTTGTTGCTGCCCTCGTTCTTGTCCTTGTCCTTGTCTCTATACCTTGTCTTTGTCCTTTGTCGTCGTCGTCGTCGTCGTCGTCGTCGTTGTTGTCGTCTTCGTCGCGTCGTCGTCGTCGTTGTTGTCGAGTTAACGGATAACAGTAACAATTATGTAACAATTATGTAATGTTATCGTAGCTGATATCGTTGATATCCTCTTCCGTTCTCGACGATGACGTCGTCGTCGTCGTCGTCGTCGTCGTCGTCGTCGTCGTCGTCGTCGTCGTCGTCGTCGTCGTCGTCGTTGTCGTTGTCGGCATTCGATGGGAGAGCAAGAAAGTCGCAAGGAATTAACAGAAAGACGCATGCGCGCCCTCCGATCCGGGCTATGGCTTTGGCTACGACCTCGGCTCCAGCTTGGTTCCGGCTATGGCCAGGGTGTAGACCTCTGCCTGGATGTTATAAGTCTGGTAGCTGTAGGTAGCTGCAACTGTGGTTGCGGGTCACGGGACACTGGAGACCGGGTTAGGGGATGCCATAAGGGGATGCCTTGTTTCGAAGGTAGGGAGGACCAACCACCAGGCGGTAGGGGTTGCTCCGCACCGTAATTTGCGAATTACGGATTTGTCACTTACCATAACGAATTACAATTTGCAAATCTAATATGGCAAGCGGGCAGATGGCGCACTGGAAGAAATTGAAAAAATAACTCTAAATATAACTAACTAAATATAACTAATAATAAAACTAACTGAGCTTTCTCTGCATTATCACACGAATTATTACACGTGCGTTACATGAACGTACGTGATCGTGTTTTTCTCTAAACTCCAAACAATTATGCACGAATGTATATACATGCACATGCCCGTATCCATCTACGTTACAGATTTCTTTTATCGATCCAACCGTTGCAAATCCAATGTCGCATCCGCGAGTGTTTGGAATTCCGTTGACGATGTAATTACTGTTTACCTCTTCTAACGTCATTTCTTCTTTCCATCCGCGAGAAATGAAAAAAGCGTTGTCCAACACCTTGCCGAAACATATACGTATACCTATACGTATTTCACTGAAATTCGTATCGCTTTTACCAACTGAGCTTGCAGCTCAGATTCGATCGATACAATAGGCACGCGCGTGATCAAGCATTAACTACGCACGCACATTTCGACGTGCATAAAAGATCAAATCGAATCTTGCAAAATGTTTGATTATTTATTTTCCATTGGCTACATTAATTATTCGGTTCAAACACTTTTCGATCAATTTCGCTAAACAATTGCTCGACTGTTTGAACGACGATGTAATATCGTCGCACTTTCCATTTTTGAATATCATTTTGATACATTTGGTATTTATAGTTCATTGCAATTCATCTCGTCGTACACATTCTGATTGTCTGACAGTTTCGGAAACATTTCATTTTCTCAAAAAAAAAAGAAAAAAAAAAGCTAATCCGGAAACCATCTTTGAGCAATTTATTTATCGCTTCTGTCTATTTTTATCAAAAATCGTTTAAAAACGACGCTCGATACGACCAACATGTATCCAATATAGAGTTTTCTGCTCGCTGCATTCGCAAATATACTTGAAACTGTTCCAAATTACATCAACTGATTTCAACTAGTTTCGTAATTTCGATATCAATTTAACAACAACAAAATTCAAGCGCGTTCTAAGGGCATCTAGCCCCCTCTTTTAGCCACGTCCCTTTTCAATATCTCGTTTGTTCGCTCGCTCGATGAATTCGCTCCGCATATACACACCAGCCAGACACGCACACATATATTTGCACGTCCACATCGTTCGAAAATCACGATTCCGATCTACGTATTCTCCTTTTCTTTTTTTTCTTCTCTGTTTTTCTGTTCTTTCCTTTGTCCGAACGACAACTTTTGCAATGTGTTGCAACTGCTGAAAAGCAAGATATCTCGCGAGATCCGTTCTCTCCTCTCCCCCCTTTGCTCCAAAGTTCTCACGCGCTCTCTTCATTCCTGTCATCGTCTGTTTCAACTGTCATAGTCACTGCACTAACGCCATCAACCCTTGGACGTTTTCCTTGTTTGCTTTTAGACGGTAAATAAGATTCGTTTGCTCGCTGCATGGGAGGCATTAATTCGCGGAACATGGATATCGAACACGATCCAGGACTCGCTGCTGTCTTGCAGTATTTAATACGCAGGTTGGTTCAATGTTATCTCATAGGCGAAACGTTTAATATCATTCGTGGATCTTTCCTACGAACGTGTGTATACGTATGCCCGTTGATAGAAGGAGACCGAAAAACCAAAGAGATTCTGCGGGAAAGAGAAAACGAAAGAATGACAGAAAGGCGGAGAGAGAAAGAGAGAGAGAGAGAATGAATGAACGAGAACAGGAAGAATTCTAACCTCTTCTCGCAATTTGTTGTTATTGCATATCTCGCCAGATACGCGATAACTCGCCTTTCCTCAGGGGCGAGACGTTCGCCTCTTTCGAAGAAATCGGCCCACCCCTTTTCTCCGTGGCCGTTTTTGTTTTCTCAAAACAATCGGAGATTTTCTCTCTTTCGATAACCTAACCTTCTCTCTTATCGTTCTTCCAGTCTTTCGTTCGCAGCTCGGCGCAGCTTCCAAAATTATCATTGCAGTGACGAGATTGTATTGACGAATTTCCGTTTTGGATTGTTGCAGCGGTCAATTACATATCATATCTTCGGATCACGATGACTCGGATGAGGAATACGCCACGAATTCACAGCCTCCAAGAATTACGTCCTTACCAAATACATCCAGACTAGATGTTTGTTGCTAATGAATACACTATGTAACGGCAATAGCGGCCGTTACCTTTAGTTATTGTATCGTATTCCATGTTCCTCTCGTTGATTTGTTTCCCTTTTTTTTTCTTGTTTCTAGAAAAGTGAGATAAGTCTTGCCACCAAGCAAGCATGTGGATTCGTAGACAATGTCGACAAACGTAATCTCTCTGTCACGTCGATGATACAAAGAAGAGCTCTAGGTCCTAGTTTCAGTACTGGCGAAAGATGCAGAATAAGTAGCAATTTCTTGCCAAATAAGATGCATCAAGTTGATAAGTATAGTACCAAAGCGTTTTGCGGTTCTTATTCCACAGATGGAAGATTTTTCTTAACTGCCAGTCAAGGCAAGTTGTTACCGTTGAAATTCCGTTTCTATTCAGAACAAAATTTGCTTTTCGGTTATCGTTTCGACATTTCCCCATCATCTATCCGTTATATGTTTTGATAGACAAATTTTTACGTCTTTACCGAACACACAATGGAGACTTTGTACAATTCAAAACCATTCCTGCACGAGATGTAGGTTGGAGCATTCTGGACACAGCATTTAGTCCCGATGGCAATTACATTGTTTATTCCAGCTGGTCAGAATGTTGTAAGTATAGCATGCTGGACACTGATCGGAGAAATGTGGAGTATCAATGGAAAGCTTGTGAGTTAAGGTACCTTTGAAATTCTCTCAGTATAACAATTTTTATGATGGGTTTAAATTTCATTGAAAAAACAATAAAATTAAATTTATTTGAATATTTTCTTATATAGTATACTTTATAAGTACATATAACATGTAAATATATATACAGAGTGTTTACAGATTTATTCTCCAGTAAATGACAGATGGAAAAATGAAAGAGAACAAAATTGTACTGGTTTTACGCAGTGTAATGGTATATTAGAAATTTTTCTTGGTCTTACTATCTTTTGAGATAAGAGATTTTTTAAATGAAATGTATTATGTCTTTTTTTTTATATTCTGTCAAAGCGGATGTGAAGATGAATGAAAACAATGTACCTATTCAATGATTTTTCAATGATACGCGCAAGATCAGGAACGAAAGAAATACTTTGGATATTGCATATTGATATAGTTATTCGTGTTTCATATTGAGAACTTAACATTTAAAGAGTGTTTTAGATGTACAAGATTTAAGGAGTGTTCTAAAACTGGATTATCTTTTCGTTCTCTGGCGTATTTAAACAGTGAATGTAGGAATAATGCAAATACAAATTCGCGTGTAGCTTCAGTGGTTTTAGTGATTAGTGATTGTGATTAACGGCTCGGTGGACACAAGTATACACAGTCTTAGCTTTTAAAAATTAACATAAACCAGTGGATTCCTTTAATTATAAGCTTTCCATTGATACTTTGGCGTTGTCCGAAATACTAAAATGCAGCTGCATGCTGTCGTAAACGACACGAATGAATTATATAAAGTTTTCTTAGTCTTCTCTTCTTCTTTTGTTTCAGTATACTTGTGTCCCGTTTACGGAGATTCGAGCGCGCAAGAATCATTGTCACTGTGTCCGGAGAATCGACGATTTTGCGTATTTTCACTCGTGTTTTCTAGCGACGGTCGAGAAATTTTAGGTGGAGCGAACGATGGTTATCTTTACGTCTATGATCGAGAGTGTCATCAACGTGCTTTCAGAGTACGTGTATGCGTATCATCATATTCGCAGCTTTAACCTTTTACAACTTTATTTCTTACAGATTTTCCTGTATTCTTCTTTTTTGTAGATTGAAGGCCACGACAATGATGTAAATACAGTTGCTTTTGCGGACAATACTTCTCAGATTCTATACAGTGCCGGTGACGATGGTCTTTGTAAAGTATTTATCATCCTTTTGCAAACAAAATGCATACGTCATATATATTACGTAATACATTGCAATAATTGTTGCATACAACGCGATACATTTCATTTTAATTCGTTAGGTTTGGGACAGAAGAACTCTGAATGAAAGCGATCCTCACCCGGTTGGAGTATTGGCTGGTCACATGGATGGTATAACGTACATCGATCCACGTGGCGATGGTCGTTATTTAATTACCAACAGTAAAGATCAAACAATCAAATTGTGGGACGTGCGTGCATTCTCTGACCACAATGGCGAACAAAATACACGTAAGGCCGTTGCAAATCAAAACTGGGATTACCGATGGCAACGAGTACCAAAACGACGTTAGTAAAAATCTACATTTTGGCAAGAACTGACTCGAACAGATCGTCGTTGAATATATCGTGCAAAGTTGTTTGTTTTTCCGTTACAGTGCACAGAGCGAGAAATATGTTGGAAGGTGATACTAGCATTATGACCTATCGCGGTCACTCCGTTCTTCAAACTTTAATACGTTGCCACTTTTCGCCTTCATCTATTACCGGCCAAAGATATATCTATACCGGATGTGCTGCTGGACGAGTGATAAGTAAGTTTCCAGTTTGTGTCAAGATTCAAACAGTTTCGTGAAATCTATGAGTGTACAATCGATTGTTTAATTCGTTTCAGTTTATGATGTCTTAACTGGTAGGATAGTTAGTAGTTTAGTAGGACACAACGGATGCGTACGCGATGTTAGTTGGCATCCATTTCATCAAGAAATCGTCTCTACTTCTGTACGTATTATTATACACATTCGCAGATACATATTTCAGCTTCAAGTATTATTCAAATATTATTGTGATTAATGACATTGTACGAATGAAAATGCGAGTACAATTGAAGGAAAATTGTTCTTTTCCAGTGGGATGGTGCAATTGTTAGTTGGCGGTACGCTGGAAAGACTGCGCTTGATAATTCCGGCTTAGAAGAGAAAACTGACGCAGAGTCACCGCCGCGTACTTTAAGACGAAGTCAACGAATAGCTGCTCAAAGAGCCAAGCACGCGGCCGCGTGTTGAGTCTTATGGATTTCAACCGGGAAACTGAATGTTCTCGGGAGAATTCAGTCTTTTCGTTCCTACGAGGAAAAAGTTAATGATGCCTAGAACGATGTTTGCGGCAGAACAATGTTTGCATCGGTGATTAGATTTCATCGAAAAATTCAAGAGACTAACTTTTTCTACAAGACTGAGTTTTCATTGAATACACGCACCTCTACAAAATCAGTGCTGCCATCGGATTGTTTTGATTGCCGGTCGAAACCGTATGCATATTCATAAGACAATAGACACGAGTACGAGAGAGCGTCGATTATGTAACTCATTCTCGTGAAGTAACCGTATTTCTTTTTATTTGATGTTCGACGGTCGCTTTCCTTTATGTTAAATCCAAATGGAGGAAAAAAAAAACGGGGGCATAATATATACATATTATTTTCTATTCTACAGGGAATAATCGTAACGCGATGATCAAATGAACACACACACACATATGTATATATGTCTCTCTGTATGTATATATGTATGTATGTATGTATGTATGTATATTATTACCTAAAGTAACAATCAAACTCAAATTAAGAACGTATCTTTGTTACGAAGCGAAGGTTTTTTTTTCCATCTTTTTGTTTTTGTTTTGTTTCTTTTTCCTCTCCTCGGATCACCCTTATATATAATCGTTAAATAATTTTATTAGAAATTTTAAAGGAAAAATATCTTCGATTCGCGTTGTGTTACAATATTGCGCTAGTTGTAAGTTGTTATTTCAATCTTTGTTTTGCAAAATAAGTTATTATTTAATCATATTATTTAATAATAAAATACAGACGAAACTTAATATCTTTTATTATAAAGAAGAAAGTTCGACTTTTCCTCCATGTGATTCTTTTTTTGTAACGAAAACGTAATTTTATGATTAACGAGAAAATGAAAGCGACGATAAACGGGAATGAAGAACATAACGTAAGAGGAAAGATGGAGTGCATTTGTGGCTTTACAACATGTTTTCTTTCCAAAATGACCAAGTGTGGAAAGAACGTTTTGTGTACATTTTTCAGTGTATTTTCAGTGTATTTTATTAGGTATATTTAAATGTCGCGTACGAATTTCCAAAAATGTACAGATATACATAAATATATAGGAACATAATACAGACACTTTACACAAACGCTCACACAGACTTACACACACGCGCGTGTATATATTTATATATACATACATTATGTTATATTAAACATGTACTAATAAATTACTAGAAAATAACGTTCAACTCTCATTTCTCAGCTCAACTTCTCATAACTCCGTAGTGTCTGTTTAACGACAGAATACAGGGCCAAGTTCAACGTGAACATGTAAAATTTATTTGACAAAATACAAATAGATGGATTCGTTATTTTGTTGCTCATTGTGGATTAATTTGTTATCGTGCATAGTTCCATCGAATACTAAAGTTACGATCAAAGTAACAATAATAACAGTGACGAATGGAATTTCACGAGTTTTATTAAAGATTTTAGTCCAGTTGTGACTCTGTTCGAGATTTCATATCGGTTATATAGAGAAGACCGAAGTCGCCGAAGATTTGAAAGGAAACCGTAAAAGAGATTCGAGCTCTCGCACTCATCCATTTATAGCCGTGAAATGCGCGTATTTGGAAGCCGAACTAACGGCTGACTATCACCTGTGCAAACGCGTATGAGATTTCTTTGCATCTGTGCGTTGGCGAACGATAATTACACTCGATTCTACTATGCGATTAGATTTTACATCTTGGATCATCATCCATGTTCTTAACTCTCTATCGTGCTTTTCCATTCCCCCCTTGTCGCTTCTCTCCTCGATTGTTCGCGAGAACGAGATTAATTTCGTTGCAAAATCCTCTCGCGATCTCTGCGTTCTTTTTTCCTTCTTGAACGAGAAAAACATGTAGCAACATATGTAGCAACAGCAGCAGCAGCAGCAGCAACAACAACAACAACAACAACAACAGTAGTGATAGCAACAACATAGCATTTATTATAGTATAACAGTAAATTGGAAAATATAAAATACAAAAAGGGGGACAAATCGAGTAAATACAAGTGAGTGCTTACTTAAATTTCCTTAAATTTTCTAGGGAAATTGAACAATAGGAACAATAATAATAATAATAGTAACAATATAGTATTATAGTATAATAGTAGGTAATGTATAAAAGTATAAAATAGTAAGGAAAGTATAAAACACAAAAGGAGACAAATTGAGTAGATACAAGTGAGTGCTTACTTAAATTTCCTTAAATTTTCTCAGAAAATTGAACAACAACAACAATGATAATAATAGTAAGAATATAAACGAAATGATAATAGTAAGTATAGTACGACAGTAAATTGAAAAATATAAAATACAAAAAGAGACAAATTGAGTACTTACTTAAATTTTTAAAAAAAATTGAACAACAACAATATAGTATATCATAGTATAATAATAAGTCGGAAAATATAAAATGCAGGAGAAGATAACTCGAGTAAATACAAGTGAGTATTTAAATTTCTTTCAAGGAAACTGAACAGAGGTAGGAATATAATTAGAGTATTAGAAATGAGATTTTGTAACGGAGGTAGTGACGTCTAACGTAACGTAGAAACGTAAATGCTCCGCATTTAAATACTGTTTCTTAGACGTGAAATTACAAATACAGGGTGGTCCATTTAAGTGCTACCTAAACATCTTCTCGAATCGTGACAATGCAAAAACTATTTTTCGAATGGCCAATAACAAATGGCAAGAATATCTTTCTTCCAAGGTCACTTATTTTTTTGGAATTTTCATTGATGTTTTCTTCGTTTGCAACTATGCATCTTTTTTATTCGCATCGTATAAGTGGTAGAGAAAATACATTCAGGTATGCAAGGAACGTGCCTTTGAAATGACACTGGTGTCCAAAAATTCGAAAGATGTCGCAATTTGAAAAAGGATATGTAAATGGACTACTACCCCTCTATATATATTATCATAGTATTATTATATTATATATTATTATACTATGTACTATAATAGAGTATTATATAAGTATATATATGTACGCACACGCGCACACACACACGTACTATAATATAGTATTATTATATTAATATTATAGACGTATATATATATATAATATAGTAGTATTACATACATATATATATACATATATATACTAAAATATAGTATTATTAAATTAGTATTATGTACGTATTTTATATATATACTATAATATAGTATTATATACGTGTATATGTACACACACACACACACACACACACACACACACACACACGCACGCACGCACGCACGCACGCACGCACGCACGCACGCACACACACACACACACTATAATATGTATTATTATATTAGTATTACTATTATTATTATTAGTATTACATTAGTATACGTATATATATATATATATTATAATATAGTATTATATACGTATTATATATATATATATATAGTATGATTGACGGTAGAGAATTTCGTTGCGGAAAGCGAGAAAACAGCAGCTCGTTAGAAGCAGATCGAAATTCGAGTCGGAAAAATGCGAAAGAAGGACACAGAGAGGATCGTAGCGCGCCACAGTTGTATAAGCCGATAAAAACACGTACGTACTTTTACGCGTGCATTTACATACCCGACATTGCGCGGTGGAAAAAAATCGGATCGAAAGGACGGAAAACACGTGGAAGGATTAGACGCAACGGCGACAGCACGTATGTACATACTGCACGTACGTACGTACGTACGTACGATATATTCTTGAAATGTCGAGGAATTCTCTTCGCCTGCAGGTAGCAGTCGGCTATCCGTACCGCGGAACACTGCTAATCGATGTAAGTCGATAAAAGGTAGATTAGACTTAGAGTCTTCGTGGCAGAGAGAAGCCGATCGTGAACCGTCAGTTGCGCGCCACGATCATCAACGTCGGAACGACGCCACCTCCGTAACCGTTTTCGCCTTTTCGCCTTTTCGCCTTTTCGCGTTTTCACGTTTTCCACGAATCGTCCTTCCGTCTCGCGTCTTCAACGTGAATTCTTCGCCAAATTGTTTTCCTTGTGTGTTGTGATCATTGTTGCGATCAACAGAGTGTTCGATCCTTATTAAAGGGTAAGTCCTAAACGGTAAGAGGGAGAGTGAACGATTGCATACATCTGACCTAATAATCGGTATCTGCACGAGTCTCAAATCTTACGCGCGCTATTAAATCTCATCTGGTGCTCTAGTTTCTCATCTCTTTTCTTGCCTTTTGTTTTTCGTTTCTTCAATCGTCGATCGAATTTTCGATCGATCGTCGCGATCCGCGTTGGATCCTCGAGCAGCTCTCTTCTCTCTTACGTGAAAAAGGAAAGAGGAGATTGCACCAAAGTTTCCAATTACAACCGTGGATATCAAAACTATTTACTCGTGCTCGATAAAACGGTGCATATTGGTGATAGTTACGTAGTTGCAATCATCAAACGAGAGCACATTTTGCATTCGATAAGATAGATTGTGTGTGTGTGTGTGTGTGTGTGTGTGCACGTCAAAAAGACAGATGGGCAAATATTGGCATAAAAGAGGAAGGAGCGAGTCTAACGGGGAGATAAGTGAAGGAAGCCAAGTTTTCAGACAACAGTTAATCCGATTAAAATTTCGCGGCAACGTAGACGTGTGACAAAATAGGACGCGAGAGAAAAAAGGGAGAGATATATTAACACTAGAACTACCGACGATAATAAAGTATAATATTCGTAGCAAATAAAAAATCGAGGTGCAAGGTACAAGAAAGAATTAACGATACAAGGAAGAACAGATGTTTCTATTAACATATTTTATTAAAAGTCACTCGAGTGTTACACAATATACACTATGTGTATGTAAATGTATAAAATTTTCATAGAGAATTATAAATTGGTCATTTCGACTGCTTTGGTAGTTCTAGTGTTAAAGTGATAACAGCAGAAATTGATATTGAAATTTTAGTCGCAACCACTTTCCTTGTCCAGAAACGATAATGTCCGATCAAGAGGTGACTGGCAATGCGAAGGATATCGGGAGGAGGCAGGCGATTCCCGTCATTTACACTAGAGGAACACATTACGATGTCGGCTTCGATATTGTAAGAATTTCTTCTCTTTCATTGCTATGGTATATTGTATGTTTTTTTTTTCTAACAGATGCAACTAACTTCGTTTTAACGCTAGAACTACCAAAATTGGTCAAAATGGCCAATTTGTAATACTTTTAAACGATTTCTCGCTGTATAAATAAATAAACGCTTGTGTGCTTTGTATTGTGTCGTAAAGTCTTTTATTATTATTATTTTTTTTTTTTTTCAACATCTCCGATGAAAATTTTACGCTTTGATCGTGTGACAAACTTAATTGCTCAGAACTTGTTAGCTAGAAGAAGAAAACGCGCGGAAAGTCCAAGGAGCAACATTTTCATCGTATTTTGTTCCGACAATGAAAAAAGAAAGAAAAAAAAAACGCCATCAGCAAGAATTATCCGATATACATACATGGTAAAGAAATCTTCAAACTACAAGGGCTTGTCAGCATTGATTTGCTAAGTTTCACTACTTACGGAGGATGTCAAATCGTTCTTGGAACTTTCTCTCGTCAAAAGAGACGAAAACTTTTTAAAGATGGCGAAAACAAGTAATCGAACAAAATGGTCGATACACATTAATGATATAGTTTCTGTTTCTCGTGAAAAATTCGCCTTTCATTCGTACACACACACACACACACACACACACACACAAAAAGAAAAAAAACACGCAGTTACTTTTTGGCCAACAATTTTAATATTGTGTTATGTAATACCATATTATATCTCATTGTTGCCATATACATACACACACACGTATATATATATATATATATATATATATATATATATATATATATATATATATATATATATATATATATATG